AGTGGGTGTTTAAGTTATGATGGACCAGGGGTGCCGTGGTCTCCACAGCATCAGGGGTGAGGTGCAGAGCTTTTGGCAGACGTGGTGGGCTCTGCAAAGCACAGTGGTTGCCCAGGAATGAGAGGGGTGAAGTGGGCACAGAGAAAGCGGAGATGGCTCTGCGTGACATGGTCTGAAACCTCCAGGGTTGTGGAGGGCACAAGCTGGGGACCAGGCGCGGGGTGTAGAGCCAGGAGAATGGAATTATATTCCCAGACCACCCGTGCCCTGTGCTGGACAAACCAGCACCTTGAGGTGGCTGAGTGGTCTGGGACAGCGTGGAATTTTTTAGCTGCTTTTTGGAAAACGTTCTGAGAGCTTCCTGGGGAAGGCTTGCAGGAGGTGGCAGAGCGTGAAGGGGTAACCTGGCTATGTCTGGCTCGTTCTGGCTGTTTTTTCACAGTGAAGGCAAAGTGCATTTCTTCTGAGGAGGAGGATAGGTTCATAGACAATTAAAAATTCAGATGTTGAAAATTCAAACTTTAAGCACTCCAGTGGATGTAAAGCTGATAAAATGGCAGCACCGCAAGAGCCGAGGTTGTGCCAACGTCCAACCCTGGGACCTCACTTTTACACAGTGCCAATTTTTGAGCAGTTTGGAGGTGTCCTTCATGGGTGGGTGCTCACACTCCAGGCTGAGAAAGCCATTTGTACCTTCAGTCCAGAAAAACACTGTCTGTGCACCTGAGCTTGTGGGGAAGAACAGAAGCACCCAAAGCTTTCACCGAAGCAGTTTAAGTGGCCTGCAAATATTTCACCCTCTTTCCCCCTATCCAAGAGATGGGTGAGGCAGAGTTTGATTTTTCTGAGCAAACTGAAGCAGCCTTTCCTGAAGGAAATCTCCATACAGAGGGGTGGCACAGCTCTCAGTCCTGCTGCTCGAAATGCTGCAAGTTTGTGTGCAGACAAGGCCCAGGAGAGTTATGGTGGAGCTATTAGGAGGGGAAGCGATTTTTTCTTAGACTGATTAAAATTCTTTGGGCTTTCTGTTTGTTTGTTTTTAAACACCTATTTAGCTTTTAATTAACATTTAAGAGAAGGGAAGCTGGTTAAATATTCAATACCTCCTCCCTTTCAATTAAGGTAGAACAGTACACAACGCGTGATGAGGCCTCTGGGAAGTGTGGAAAAACAGAGAAGAGCAGGCTCCTGATTATCATTTTCAGGGGGACAGGAGAGGTGAAACCCATCTGATTATAACTGCTGTTAACAATAATGTTGAGATTTTTATTTTTTTTTTAACATCAGAAAGCAGTTTAGAAATGCAACTATTCTTTAAAACCATATATCCTGGTTTTGGCCTTTAAATACTTCCGTTTTTCCACTCCCATTCTTTACTCATTTCAGGTGCAAGCATGGAGGATTTTCTAATAGGCCTTTCCAGTAGCTTAGCAGGGAGGCTGCAGATGCTGGGGAAGTTGTTCTTCATGCTCCATGCCCTTATCTTCATTTTGATGCAGTTCTTTCTGTCCCAGCGAGTCAGCAGCCCCCAACCACACAGCCCTGGGAGCTCAACCGAGCAAGTGAGAAAGAGCTGTATTGTCACCATACTCCAGTCTCTCCCCCTTTCCCTTCCTTCTCCTTGAAAAATCCAGTTACCTTCTGTCTGTGAGCCGGTTGTAGCTCAAAATGGCACATAAAACACACAGAAAAGGGCGCCTCAGTGGAAGAAATGGATTTGGAATATGCTAGTATTTGAAATTCGACAAATTCACCCTTCCTAAACTTAAATTCTTCCCTTTTGATTTTGTGTGCCCTAATTTATCTGACAAAATATTTTGTTTTGCTGGCCATCCGGTTTAAAAAATAATCATGCTAGCTAGCAAAACAACCAAACCAACAAACCCATTTTACATTGTGGAAGCTCCTCAAACCACTGCCCAAAAGGTGATATATTTTTACACCTGCTGTATCTTCTGCTGTGGTGAGACAACTTACCTGCAGAAAATACTTTGTTTTCACCAAATATCCCACAAAAATGATTTTTTGTTTTAATTGCCATGTTACATAAACAAGTTTCTAAAATGGAATTGCTGGCACCAGATACCAGTTGTGCAAATGTATGTGCCTAAATGAGTGGTTGCTTTTCAGCTTTTTTTTTTTAAGGAATGAAGAGAGAGGAGATGCTAAAATGCAGAGCTATTGGATAGGTTTCATACACTATAACTTCAAGGTTTACTGGATATAGGATTGAATCGATTTTTAAAGACAGAAACAAATGTTTTGCAAAAAGATTTCTAACTGCATCTATTACAAGACTTTCCAGTTCAAATTTAAAATTAACCTATTGTGATGACACAATAATTTTTAACTTAACTGTTGCATGTTGTCTGATGACCTATTCAGTGCCGTGGATTTTTATTTTAAAAAAAGCAAAACTATAAGAAGCATCAAAACCCAAGATATTTTCTCCATGATCCTCTCTTCCAACTACTTAAGCACATGAATATATTTATATATATGTCTCTTGTGATTATTTATCAGTAGAGTTAATGATGTGTATTTACTGGCTGGACTGAAACAAGAATTAATCCAATTAGTTCAATAATTGGTTATTTACCAAATATTTTCTTAATTATTGAGAGTCCATTTCTACTTCAGCTGTAAATAACAGAAAATCTCCCATCAATTTCAGCTAAAGTGGTATTTTACTCCTTTAAAAATGGTTTTCATAGCTTTTATAGAAGCATTTCATGGAAGTCACAGGAAAAATTTTGAAGTTGCAGAGGATAATAAAAGTAACACCTTCTGTCAGAAGGTCCAGTTTTTAAGTAAAACTCATTCAGGCGAACTTCACAACTTGTGATTTTTATTTTTTTTTTTTTAAATTTAATTCAATTTGTAGGAAAAAAAAAAGGCTGAAGGAAGCAGCATGTGTGTGTCTGGAAATAGCCAAATTCTGTTACATGGAGAATTCTGTACTACAATATGATTAAAAGTTGATGTGAGCAACCTAAGACAGGAGCCCCTCAATTGGCTGACCCTGGAGCTGTATCCTTTAGATGCAAATACCACTAATGTCAATTTTATCTCAGCTGGATATAAATTATATCCAGTTTCAACACACCCATGCCATGGAGCTCTGGAAGATGATAAAGCTGAAAAGCTGATGGAGGCAAAAAGGCATTTTTCCTGTGGATTTTGGAACAGGGTCCTGCCCAGATGGAGGGCACGGGCTTCCCGTTGAGAGGAGGAGAGATGAGGCTGTAGAGGAAGATCTCCCCTTTTCTCTGCCTGCTCCCAGTTATTCTCTGATAAAAGTATCTTCAGGAGGGCTTAGAGGGAAAGGAGGAATCAGCTCAGCAAGAAGAGTATCAAGGAGACATCAGCTATTGTCTTCAGTGCTGTAGGCGGATACTTCACTGAAATAGAGAAAATATTAATTCACAAATATTTGTATTATACACCCAGAAATTTGTAGATGAAGCTCAATCTTTCTTTATATTTTTGCCCCTTTTTCTTCCTCTCCAGATTCTCTGAAGTGGCTATGTTGTAAGGACAATACTGACAAAAAGCCCTGTCGGTAAATCAATAACTTTTTTTCTTTCTCTTTTTTAAGGAGAACACACACAAGAAACCAATTCACCTCATTCTCTGAAGAAGGATGTGGAAAATATGGGGAAAGGTAAAATAAATAAGGGCCTCTTACATTACAAAACTGCTCTTTGTTTTAATAGAATATGAGGATAATAGGGGGCACTTTCGTTCTGCACCATATTTTAAGCTTGTCAAGTAACATATGAATAATATATGGACCTTTGGGTGGATATAATTGAGATTAATGCATATATATCAATCAATACATGACACTGTAATATAATACTTTAAAATAATATATTACATTGATTTATATTCATGGCTTTCTGCACAAAATCTATGGTGGGTCTATGCAACACTTTTTTTTTTTTTTTAATAAGCGCTAAAATATTTTGTCTTAGAGTAATGAATTGCTCTGCAACTGTTCTTTCAAGAATTATTTATACAGATTATCAAAACCACTCTTTCTCTTTGTTAGAGGAGCTCCAGAAGGTTCTGTTTGAGCAGATCGACCTACGGAGGAGGCTGGAACAGGAATTCCAGGTGTTGAAAGGAAACGCGTCTTTCCCAGTCTTCAGTAAGACACAAAATCTGTGCCTTTGGTGTTGTGTGTGTGTGTGGCTGGTTCTTGCCAGGCTGATAAAACGAGAGAGGCTCTCAGATGTGCTGCCATGATCTTGAGTTCTGCTGAGGCCAGGCTGGGCAGGGCTTGGAGCGAGTTGGGATCGTGGGAGGTGTTGGAAGGAGGTGATTTTTAAGGTCCTTCCCAACCCCAACCGTGCCGTGATTCTACACTGACGCTTCTGCTGTGGCTTTCCAGCTCTCCAAGCAGGTCTTTCACAGGGGAAATACAAAGCTGGGTGTTTGTTTTGGTGTACAGTCTACAGTTTTGGTAGCACTGTGTGCAGGGAGTAGACAGAAACGCATCTGGGCCCTCGTGGGGTGTGGTGAGGTTGGTGTCTTAGCCAACACCTCAGGGGCTCTTGAAGACAAGATGCTTAATCCTCGTTTTCAGGAGGTTCTTAATACCCATTCTCAGGAGGTTCCAGCTGATGCTGGAGGACTGATCTGGCCTTTTTAAGGAGTAGAAATTCCTGTTTGGATTTTTCCTTTTGAGAGAGGCCGCTTGAGACGGCCCTTCCACCACGGCCGCTGCGCCGGGTGCTGCTGTCCAGGGCGGCGGAATGAGCACAGCACATCTCAAATAAAACGAAATGGACACTTAGCAGGGTTTGTGTGAAGCTGCTGGAAGGTTGGGCTGATTGTACAGGGATGTGGAAAACGACCCCCTTGGCTGGGGTCTCTCAAATGACACTGGAGCAATGACGGAAAGATTTTTCCAGGAGAAACCCCACCTAGATCAGGATGATCCCACTGGAAAAGGTGGGAACACAGACAGCATTTTCCTATTCTTCAAAGAAAATATGCTTGTCCCCTTTCTGTAGCATCAGATAGGTAAGTTCAGGGAAGCAAGGCAGCGTGAGGACTCTGGGAATGACTCCGTCTTTAGCCCAAATATTGAAAGATGTAGACAGCTCCATAAATAAAGAAGAGTCACTTGACATGATACAGATATTAATGAAAGGAGCATAACCTCATCCTTCAGCATAAATCCAGTTATTACTTGGGTTTGGGAGTGAGGTAATTTTCAAATAATTCGTGGAGATCAAAACCCTGCTGTGTGGTATTGGTGAAATGGCATCTTGGACTTTTGCCACTCAAGTCTCTTATTCATCCTTTTGTTCTTCTACAGTAAAATTAATCTCTGTCTTTTCCGTGTAAATAAACACTGCAGTTAAACCACATGAAATACAATTCAAATAAAAGAAAAGAACAAGTATACGGCCGACCAAGGAAGTGGTGACTGCTGTATGCTGGCTTGAAAAATATGTGGTTTCAATGTACCACAAAGTAGTGGTCAATTTTCTTCAGGATTAAAATAGAAAACAGATAATGTGCTATAAACCATACCTACAAGTGACCGTAAAGCCTATTTACAGATTTAGATTTACCAAAAAAACCCACCCCTCCCCCACATGTAATAAAACAAGAGAAAAGGGTCTTTGTAAAGGAAATTAGTGTAAACCCATGTTAAGGCTGTTTTGTCCTCTTGTGCAGTGCATGTTCTAGCACAAGAGAGGGGGGCTGTTCCAGGCTCTTCCTGCTGGACAGAGTTGTTTCTTTGTGCCAGGTTAGAATGGTCTTGGGCAGGGAGGAGCCGTGGAAAGAAGTCTTTGGGGACCCAGCTAAAAGAAAGTTGAGGTAAAATTTAAATTGCAATGAAAACTCATCCATGTTTCAGCTGGGAGGCAACATGTGAGATGCAGAAGGCAATACTATTTCTCTCAGGAAAATGCTTCTGTCAGGTTACCTGCAGTTAACTCTGGAGTCACCTCTTTTGGGTCCTCCACTTGGAACTGAGCACGTTTGGGGTGTTATATCTTCATAGCATCAAGCCATACTCACAACAGGGCTGTGCAATAAATGGTGTTTGGTTTCAGAGTTCTCCTCTCATTTTAATCACTGTTAAATGAGAACTGAGCTTATTTGCAAGCTCTCTTAGCGGTGCTATGCTGCAGTCTTCTCTGTGGTTTCTTGTACCTGTGTGAAACATGGACTGTGATAATTTATAAAACAGCAAGACCTTGTCTTCTGCTGCATTTTTCGCATTTCTGTTGTGCTTGAAAGCTGCAGGTGAAATTTGCCTTTAAGATCTCTCCATGCAGAGGTCAACTGAATAAAATAAAATTAAAAAATAATAAAAAAAATTCAGATCACATGAAGAAAGTCTAAGTATTTGCTGTCCTGATAAAAATACAGGCATCTCTGCATGTTGACAGTGTGATGTCCTGGATGCTCTGGTTTGTACGTGTCGGCTGCTCCGCGTTCTGTCCGTCTGCATTTTATAAACAACGTGGCAATAAAATGGCGGAGACACAGTCTGGGTACTTAAAGTATTTAATTTTGTGTTAAGAAAGCTATTTAAATATTCATACCTTTTCTCCTGGGTACTGCTTATGGCTTTGTCTGTGAGCGTTTGGACTCGGATAAATGCCGCTGGAAAAAAACGCTGTCCCTACCATTAACACCCCATTTCCTCTGTGAGCTTGGACATTTGCTGTGCAGGGCTGAGCAAGATCCCTGAGCTGTTTGTTTGGAGATGTGATGAGCCCATGAAGAGGCAGCTGGGAGGAAAGCCTCGAGGAAAAAAACCCAAAATTCCTCCTTAAAGCCTGCTCAGAGTGAAGCTGGAGGACCTCAGCTGTCATTCTCAGCCTTTAGTGACCAGGACAGGGGGCAGCTACCTTTTTATACTTCATGGGCTTTTTGGCTGGGGCTAGGAAAAGAGGAATTGTAAATCTGCGTTATTTTTGTTTCTGTTATTATGTTTCTGATCAAGTTGGGGTAGATGGAATAGGCTTAAAAGTTCTGTGGGAATTTACTGGAAATCTGAAGGACTTCATTGCGATAGTGCCACAATGTCCTTTTCAATTTGGTTTTGCTGGAGTCCTGAGGGCTTCAGTTTGCCAAAATTTCTCACTCTTTCTCTGTTTCATTGCTCTTTTCCTGACCCCTTTTCTTTTAAACAACAATTTTATCTCATTGTTCAGAAGCGACAAAGTTCTTTTTTGAGAGGGGGACAGAGCTCTGCCCCCTTGTTTTTCTTCCAGGATAGGCTTGTTACTTGAATCAAAATGATAGTGGTTGGGGTGAGTTTTCTTTCCTCTTCCATTTAGCAGCCCATCCTTGCACCCTGACCTCCAGCAGGCAGCTCTTTGAATTATTTGGCACTTGTCAATAGTTCTGTTTCTGCTTCTCTTTTTCCCACCCACCAAGAGGAATGTTAAGGAACACAGAGCATCAGCTAATCTTCCAACAAATGAAGTCTTGTCTGAAATGCTTATTTAGGTTATTTAGGAGGAAAATCAGGGAAGATCTACTGGAGCAGGAAGGCCAGCCTGTGCTGTAACCCAGCTGCCCAGGATCTCTCTTTCAAAGACTTTTTCGCTTCCATATTCCACGTCACCCTTTATGGAGCTTCAGTTTTGTTCAAAGCCGTCAGCACAATGCTACAAACCACAAATCAAACCCTGCATCCTTGAACGCTTTCTCCTCTCACATGTTGGACATCGCTGTTGATGTCAACAGATTTATGCCAAAGCAAAGAAGAACAGTTTTTGCTCTTCTCTTCAGGGCTTGAGAAAGTTTGACTAATGACTGCAGAGCCTTGCCCGTGCAGGAAAATAGCTGGGAATAAATGCTAGCAACACAAACTTAGCATCCTACATTTTCTGAGGGAGGAAATCTAATTTTTCCACTTTTTTTTTTCCTGTTGTCAGTGGTGTCTGCTATTAGATACATACTTGTTAAGCATGTGTTTTAATTGAGTGCAAGACTTTTATAATGCTTTGTGGTTCCCCAGTAGTGAATGGGTTTGATTTAGCTTGATTTATGTAAATTCTGCCGTGTGGTCTCTGTTTTAATTACGGCACCTACATTTTGTTTCCCTCTCATACAGATAATTTTCAAGATCAGATGAAGCGGGAACTGGCGTACAGAGAAGAAATGGTGCAGCAGCTACAAATCGTAAGTTTACTTTCTCTGACAAAAAAATGTCTTCAGCTGCTTCTTTGTGTTTTTTAAGCGCACACCTGAAATTTTCCCTTTGTGAGCCACGCAGATGCACCATTACCGAGCTCCTATTGCCTTATCTTTAGCAAGAGGTAAGCACGCAGCTCTCAGCTGGTTTGGAGCCTAATTACCTGGAGATTTACTTTCCTACAGTAACCAGATGGGTCTTCATGTTTCAACTAAACAAAATGTGTTGACTCAACACGGAGAGGTGCTTCTGCAGAGAGGAGCAGGGAGTGAATCAGTAAACTTTAAGCAGTTAAATGTTTCTACCTCGTGTGAGTTGCCGAGAGGTGCATTTCAGCCCTCGGCAGGGAATCTGCTCAATCCCAGAAAATAAACCTTAGGATGTGTCTTTTTCTCGTTTTAGACACTAGAAGAAGTGCTTAACTCAGCAGCAAAGGATCAAGTTGCCCAAACACGGTTTAGTGCAGGCACACCTTACTGTTGGGTCTCCTGCTTGTTATTTTAAAACCAAGAGGGATTTTGCCTGTGTGCTGGTGCAGCACTAGATCATCACATCCAGCTGTGTTGTTTTGAAAAGCTGACGTTCTCAACCCAGTGCAAGCAAAGGGGCTGGAGCATGGGAAGCTGTTCCACGCTCGTATAGTGCTCAGTGTGGTTACAAGGGCATGGTGAGGCTGTCAGCTAGTGCTTGCTTTGCTGGTGCTTTCTCTGTGATCAGTCTGACGTTGCTCAACTGGGTTTTTGTTTTTGAGGAAAGTTTGGCAAATATCCCCACTTCCCCGAATCAGCCCCGTGCTCCCCCATGGAAATTTTCCTTCTGCTTGTCACGGGGCCCTGGTGCAGAGAAGGCATTGCCCAGCCTCCTGGTACTGTCATTTTCTAATTGATGGGTTAGGACATAAAAGTAAAGCTGAAGGCCAGGATTGTCAAACTTGTGCTCCTGATGTTGAGAGGCATTTAGGACTGGCCTTATTTTTAGAGCTGCCGAGCATCCACGCGCCCCGTTCCTGCTGACTTCAGAGATTTCAATGAGAGATGGAGGGTGTTTGAAAGAGGTTGTTTGGGGAGGAAACTCAAGTCCAGAACATCTCTGGGTGGTTTTCTTTGCAGCTGGTCTCCACTTTTTCCCTTTAATGTGCCTGGTTGTTGCTGTGTCCCTCTTTGTGACTCGATGTCAGGTGGGAAGTTTGACTTGACCTGAGAATTTTGTTGTCACAGAACAACAAAATTATGATTAATTAGGATGCCATCCTGAAAAGCACTTCCCCTGCTGCTTTGGACTTGAAGCAGGTGACCAGTTGGATTTCCTGCTGCGGAGCACTTCTAAGCACAAAGTTTATGGGCCCACCCCAGTCTTTATCTCTGGTGTCAGCTGAACTTGGAGGTAGCTAACTCTGCCTCCCAGGGAGAGAACAGATCGCCTCTGCCATTCACCCTGTGCTCCAGTCCTGAAGTTGTTTCTGGAACTGAGTATCCCAGGTCTCCAGCAAGCCAGACGTGGTGGCTTACCTGATTCTCTTGGGCAGGAATAGCAAAATGATCAAGTAATTCACACCCTTTTCACTTACTGATGTGTGCTATGGAACAGACTAAGAGTAATTTAATCATTAAACAGAGCTGTCTGAATGAATTTACAGAGAACTGTTTCAACATTTAATGTGTTTCACCAACAACTCAGGACCTCTTCACTCCCTATAGATGCCTGAATTTAACTATTAGTAATAGAAATGTTGTTGAATCATCAGTAAGCCTTCATGCTCATATTTGTGGGGTAGGTTGTGATCAATGAGATTGCTAAAAAAGATGTTTGTATGAAAAACTGAAAAGCTGCTAGAAATAACCCATCTGATTGCTTAAGATGGGTACAGAAATCTTCAGAGATGTCTTGGCTGATAACTGGAATGGAGTCAGCACTTTTGAGGTGATAATCCCAGCAATTGCTTTAATTCATTCATGGGAATATATCTTGTACGTTTATATCTAGAATTAAGATTAATGAACTGAATGTGGTAATAATAGAACTACTTTGGCCTTCCAGGGTTATTGCATGGATGAATTGAAGCAGAATACACAAAAAGTGTGTCTGCTTTTGATTTTTTGTTTAATTGCTGTTGTTGTTTTGTTTTTAATTGGGGCAGTTAGGCTTTTTTTTTTTTTTTGTACCTGATATGCTGCACTACTACTTCAACCTAAGAGCTTTAACCTAATTTTCTTGTTAACACAGAAGTACAAAGAGAAAAGCAGAAGTGTTTCATACATACTAAAATCATAGTTTTACTTAGACCTCATAGGTGTATGCCTTTGTGGCACTGAATTCAAAGTTTACTGATTTAACTAGCCACAGAACTTGACTTAATTGCTTTTAAAAATTATTCTATAAACAATATAGATGCCTGGAATCAGGTGTCTCGGTTTTTTTTGCTCTTCTCACTGCTGAAGATATACAACTTGCATTAATCTTTCCTGAATATCCCTGGAAAGATTTGAGAGCCATGTGGATGGCACTTTGGGAACATGGGTTAGAGTGGGCTGGGCAGTGTGGAGAAAATGATTGGATTTTAATATCTTGGAGGGCTTTTCCAACCTAAATGATTTTGTGATTCCCTGATCCCCTGCAACTCTGGGTACCAGAGGGGCAGGTTTTGGCAGGGCGATCGTTTCACTCACCCTAAACTGAGTAATCAGACTTTACAATAAATTGACCCAGCGTTTTTGCTGTTTGGGAAATGTCTGGAATGCGAGCTGAACGTAATCACGAAAAAAAAAAAAAATCCACCAAATATGACCGCAGTTGAAAACTTTCCAGCGCCAACACCCACTGCATCAGGACGTGAATCTCATGCCCTGCGCGCGGTGAAGGCTGGCCATGCCGCTTTTTTGTCCCGTTGCGGGTTTGTTTTTTTTTTTGGGGAGATTCCTCCCGGTTTTGGGAGCGCTCGGTCGCAGCGCGGCCCGCGGGTTCCCTCT